AGGCCTGACCGCTGTTGCTTTGCCTCCGCTCCAGCCTGAGGGACCAGATGAAGCAGCAGCTCATGGAGTGCAGCAGCGCCGTTCACACCAGTAAGCTTCTCCCTGCCCTTAGCTCCGTCCAGCCACCCCTGCGCCTCCCCTGGGGGCGATGCTGCAGCGACGGCAGCAACGCGTTCTCCTCAGCCGAGCACCTGACGGCCTTTGCTGGACACCTCCCGCAGACGCGTCTGGGTGCTTACAAACCTGCCGTGTGGCTACTGCCCGCTGCCCCTTCTCCTCGCGGGTTTTCGCTTCAGACCCCTCTAAAACTCTGACAAGTGCTGATGGTTTTCAGGAACCTGATCTCTGAGGCCGAAGTCTTACCAAGAGTCTGCCAGAGTGTTTGGCACCAATAATGACTTAAGATGTTTCCCCTTGTTCCCATTGTGTTTCTGCCACCTATGTCCTCTTCCACTGAGCCAGCCAGCTGCCTATGTAGAGCAGTCCTGTGAGCCAGCTCTGGCATGTCTGGAAAGTGCTAAATGGAAATATTTTATAGCCTAATTATTCCTCTGACACGGTTGATTGTTGGTGTAGTCTCAGTAACGCTGGTAGAGGTGATAAGGCATGGAGGTATGAATAAGAAATACCTTGTTAGTACAGCTGTCACACTGCTTATCCTTTATGCTCTGTAGATTGTTTTTAAAAAGTTTCTGTTGTGCTTTTTCTAGTGATGTTCTTTCTTTGCAGGTCAAGAAAGTTACCCTGATCCTCCCACTGAAGGAAACTTTGTCACAAAGTATGGCATTAGATAATTTCAAACTTCTGATGTATTTTAAAATAAAGGGGAGAAGGGTTGAGAACCAAACTTTGAGATTCTATTCTAGTTGCTCCATCTTAATAAATCTCTGGATTAATGATTGGTACTTTGCAGGAGTCTGGTGAAAATAAAAGAAATCAGGGGAAAATATGGGGAAGAAATATTTAACTCAGTCTTCTAATGTAGTTCTGTATCTGATGTGGCTTCTAAATTTGCAGTCCTTTTTGTGATCGCTAGAATTCACTAATACAGTTCCATATGCTAAAATACTCCTGGCCTTAAATAATTGGTGGTTTACCGAAAAAATTCTTACTTCAGACATGTAGAAAGCAAGTTAAAAATGTGATATTGCTTTTAATTTTTTTGTTATCTTTGCTGTGTTTTGGTTTCTTTTTTTTTTTTTTTTTTTATTTCCTTCAGTTCCACAGCAGACTTGGAAAGAGATATGGAGAAAGTAAAAGTCTCTCTTCAGAACAAGACATTAGCGTTGCAAAGGTAGAATTTTCTTCCTGGTTTTTTTGAGGTTTTCTGTTTCTTTATGTGTTTCCATGCACATATATGTAATTCTGATTAAAATAGCATTTCAAAGTGGCGTGGTGTTTGTTACAAACATGAGAGAATAGGAAGGCAGATGGAGATACTGTAGAGGACAAAAAAAAATTACAAGTCGAAGTATGTAAACCCAAAGTTTCCTGCAAAATTGTGAAAGTCTGACTGTATATATCAGTAAACATGTTTCATGGCAGTATTTTACAAATGCCTAGGAAAAAGATGGAAGTTGATAAGTGTTATACATTTCCTGTGTTACATGGCTGTTCGTTTGAATTCACACCTTTTCCCAGCTTCCCTTCTGCAGAGCCTGGGATTAATCATCTCTGAGTATGTTTGGCAAGACGGAAAGGAGTTGTCACTCTCAAAAATAATCATTGACACACCTTTCTTGTCCTCAGAGTTAAGCACCATTATTTAAGAAGTGTGATATTTAAAAGGTACTGAGTATTTTACGTATAAAATTCCAGTGTGAAAGTGGACATAAATGGAAACTTGGAAATATCTCTTCCATTGCTTATCTAAATCTACTTCTCCCTGTTTCTTATCAGTTCTCATAACTTACATGTTTTTTCCCCACACTGTGCAGGATCCAACTTATATTTGCCCTGAGAAACAAAGTGAAGCAAAATGATGATGACTCACGGTAAGGTGTTCTTGGGGAAAGGATGGCTAGAAAGGAACAGACTTTACATAGTTTAATGTGACGCGTTTCTACATTACTTCATTGTACCTTTTTTAAAAGCAAGCTTCCTTCTGTAGTTTTGATTGAATGACATATAGTCCACCTTCTGGCTAGAATCAGCGTGATCAGACCTCTTATACCCAGGGCATATTTACATTTGGGCTCTGAATTAACCAATCTTTGATTACACAAATCATAATTTTGGATTCACTAGTAAGAACTGTTTGTAGTTAAGAGTGTTTTTGTCTTTACAGCATGAGTTACCTGCATTTATAGTAGCTGAGCACATATTACAGGCTTGTAACAGAGCCTTTCCCTTGCTGCCTTTATTAATTAATCATGTAAGTGCTTAATGTCTCTGAAAAAGAACAGAAAGTTAAACACACTTAAAATTAGCTTTCAGTTTCCTGCCCAATATTAATGGGTGCATGCATATGAAGTGTCAGAAATACAGCTGAAAACATTACATCTCTGTGATGTCCCTGCCACGCACCAGAATTCAGGAGCTGCAGTTGTTAGCCATTCTCAGGTAGCTAGGCTTCATTGGTGCCTTCCAGGTTCTATGAGTTGAAGTGTTAAACAGACTTAACTGAAACATTAGGGAAACAGAAGGAAATAAAGGATGCTATTTGGCCTCTACAACAATACTTAGTGCAACTGTAAAAAAGAAAGGGTTCATTTTGTGTAAAACTAAAAACCAACCAAACAAAACCCAAATAAACAAAAAAACCCTCACACCAGTAAATTTACTTTTATATTAGGGGAAATGGGGATTTTTTATTTGATCCAAATAAGCTTGATTAAAACATGCTGTTGACAAATATTCATGGTCTTAAGGTATGCAACTGTGTTTCCTTCCTTAGACAGATCATGGAAACTCTGAAACACATAGTAGAGCTCAGCCAGGCAGTATTTGAATTCCAGCAGGTAAGTGGCATTTGTAGCTTCTCTTGTAGTTTTGCAGGTTTCCCAACCTCAACATGGGCAAGAGCACAATTTGAAAGTAACAGGATTGCACAAGTCATTTGAAGCTGAATATATGGCCCAAAGGATGCAGTTTCTACTGGCGTTAAAATTACTGAAATGATTACTTAAAGTCAATATGTAAGAAAGTCTGCTTCTAGAGTTGCTCTTAACTGCTTTGGTGGATTGAATTAGCATCTTTCAGTGTTTTTTGGAGGTAAAAGTCTAAGAAATACTCTTTTTTTTCCTTTCAGCAAGCACGTGAGAAGGAACAGAAACTGGCTGACATTAAAAGGAAAAGACTCTGTAAGTGTGTTAGTTGTATTGACTTTGGTTTATACTTTAATGTAGAGTTCAGATTTTAAGTTCTTGTAGCAGTATTAATTTACATCTGAAGTAACCAGAAAGCTCTCAGCACACTTATAAAACTTCTGAAAAGAGTTGGAAGTACAGTAAAAATGAGCTGGTGTGTTGTTTACTTCAGCATGAGACTGACATGTTAGATGGACAGCTGCAAGACACTCAGAAAGAATGCCATGGCATTACTGTAAGCTCCATGGAAAATTACACATCTAGTAATTTAAATCAGTCCTACAACACCTAAAGGATTTTTTTTTTTTTGTCATACTGTATGAGGGGATTTACTTACAAAGAACTCTCATAATAGTGTATATTTTGGTATTTGTCATCCTTTATAAAATGTTTGCAGAACAGGGGAGGGGATTTACTTACAAAGAACTCTCATAATAGTGTATATTTTGGTATTCAGTAGGCTTGTTAGAGCGAGTCAGATTTACATGTGAAATCAGTCTTCAGAACTTAATAAGGTAAATGTGTTTTTTGAATGCTCCTACTGTCATGACCAGTTTTGCTAACAATTTTAACAACTATTGTTTGTTTCATGCATAGGAAGTGGTGTATATGTTGACAGTAATGAACAAACACAATTAAATATCTGTCTTCATAGGAAAATTGAGCATCCCTAATATCTTCAGAAATAAGGGAAGGAATACTGTGTCAGCATTCTTCCAATGTATGAACTGTCCCTAAATGGTTTTATTCAGCCTAGTTTTTAGCCTGGTTTCCTATAAAAAATAGAAATATCCACTGGTGGTGCCCACATGTTCCTTGTATGACTTTGGAATGTGGTTTTGATCAAATTCAAAAAAGGGGAAAAGGCCTTAAACACCTCTGACTATAAAAGGTGTGACAACTGAAGTCGAGGTGTAAGATAGATGTTCAAATTACCGTCCATGTCTGATGGAAAGGCAAACAGCATACAAAAGTGCTCTCTGTTTTGCTAGTAGCCAGGGAACCAGTCAATGTACTTTGATACCAGGTAGCCACAGCATGTATTGCCTCTTGTGTGAAAGGAATATCTTGAGGTGTGTTGGAGGGAAGGGATGGAGCGTGAAGTTAGGGTTATTGCAGTGAAAGTGCCTTAGATGTCTGTGAGGAAAGAAAGTGTATCTTTAGTTCTACTGCTCACCCAACTACTTCTTCATGCTTCATTTTCCTAATAATGGAACAGCACTAAAAAAAGCCGGAGGACAGAAACTACTGCAAATTCATACCATGATGAAAAAACAGAAGGAGGAACAAGCAAGTATGGCATTGAGCAGTACACTGGACCGTATATATAAAAACTTCCAAAAAGAAAGAGAGATGACTACAGTAATTCAAAATGTGTTCCAGGTAATGTTTTAAAGCAAGTTTGCAGTTTTTCATGACAGTCCAGATAATATGGTTTATGGTAAACTAACTTCAAACAAAATTGTGTTTTCTAAAAACTTTAAGGAATTATGGTAATGGAAAAAACTGCTGTATTAAGGGAAAACTTTATTGCTATGAAGGCTAAAAGCATGAAATTTTCACAAACTTATTTGGAATAATTATTTATGGAGTTTAGAGACTGTCTATCAATCTACCTTTATTCCTTTGTTCCCTTAAAAGTACAAAAATAATGCATGCTTTCGGAGAATGTCTGTCACAGCAATGGCTGTATTTCCGTACACTGAGAGTCACCCCTACACATGCCCAAATCGGTTCCCCCATCTCATGATTAGGCAAAATAAGTAAGTTCTAATACCATTATATCAGTGAACCAGACTGCTGCTCCAAAACCTGCCCCTTCTGACCACATGTGCTCCTCTGTTTGTGTCGCCCACTGCAGCGTTGTGAAAGCCTTGGCCTGCAGCCTTGGCCGGTCTACAAATATTTTCAGTGTTGTAGCCTTCAACCCTTTGGTTACCCATGTATCAGATGCTGCTGCTAAGTCTGTGTCCATGCAGTTGGCTGGCAGGTCATATGGGATGTGGAGTCAGAAAACCTCATGATTTGGGATAGGGTGGAAGGGCCTCCTCCAGCACCCTGTGCTCAGAGGGCCTTTACTAAAGGTCACGTGTGCTGTGCTGCAGTCTGGTACTCTGCCTCTCGCTAAGTGACTTGTCCTGGCTTCCTTTGCCTGGCCCCACAGAGGAGTCGCTTAAGTAGAAAGATGGGAGGCACAGTGAATTGCAATTACAGTGCTCTTGAGTTTATCTGCAAATGGGTTATGAAATCCCAGTTAAGTGTGCAGAAAGTTTATTTAAAAAATTTAGACCAAGGGGGAAAAAAAACCAAACAAAAACCCAACAAACCATATTGGAGGGCTTCAGGTAGAAGACAGGATATAACTGTGCTGTGAATTTGGATGATTGGAAGAATTTCAAGGATGAAGAGCCACGTTTTTGTATTTACGCGCTATGTCTACTAGTTTGCATTGATAACAATGTTACATCTCAAATTAAAAACAAACAATCAAACATTTTAGATTAGATTCCTAGAATTATCTTCTAATTTTGTACTCCTGAAATCTTTTGAGCTGTAAGTAGCGCAAGTCTTCTTTGGTTAAATTTAGTAATTCCCGTTTTCAATCCAGAATGGCCGATTCAGAATTTTAACTGTTATCTTGTGCTCAAGGCAAACTTTGTTTCATGTGTTTTAAATAAATAAATTCCTATGTTTAGAATAGGGATGATGTACAAGCACCTCTAGGAAATTCAAAGCACTGCTTCCCCCCCGCCCCCCCTGTGTTTTGGCAATAGGATCTAAAACAATCCTTCCCTTTCTCCTCTTTCCCCCATCCCACCCATTTCAAACAGTGCTGTGAATTTCAAGGGCTTCCAAGTTAAAAAACGGGCAGCTTTTCAGGGATTTGACTAGGAATAATCCTTTTAAAAGGCTTTTTTTTTAACCAATAATCTTTCTTTCTTATAGAATATCATAATTGGAAGCAGAGTTAACTGGGCAGAAGATCCATCTTTAAAGGCAGTTGTTCTAGAGCTTGAAAAAAATGTCCAGTTTCTGTGACTCAGGAGAAATGTTTTTTAATTTTGTGCAGTGTCTGTAACCCACGTACTAAGCCTGATAGATTAACGCGCGTGATGAAAGCCCAGGGTGAGGCTGTTAGTGCCGCTTGTGACTGCGCCCTCGGTGCCGCTTACTAGTGAAGCAGAGCTGTGGATGCCATCCCACGCAGAGAAATGGTAACCCTTGGCAAAATGCGAGTGAAATTAACTTCATCCTATGGACTGTGCAGCTCAGCAGCCTTCAAAATATATTTTTTAATTGTCAGTTGTATTTTTGCTTTACCTTTGCAGAAAATTGACCAAATCATCATGTGTAAGGCTAACGTTAAAATACTGTCGCTTTTAAAAGCCAAGTGAGATGTGTTTTGATCGAATAAAAATAAAAACGCGGTGTTCTCAGACCCTCAGTGCCCGGCCCGCACTCCTGCGCTCCCGGCTCGGCC